CCCTCACCCCCGGACCTTACCTCCACCACCGCTCTCGTCCCGGCCCTACCCCCACCCGCGTTCCTTTCCACGTCCCCGACCCTGCCCTCGCCCGCACGCGCACCCTGTCCCGGCCCGCACCCGCGCCCGCTCCCCTGACCGCTTCTCGACCTGCGCCCGCACCCGAGTTCGCCCCCGCCGAATGTCCTGCATTGTGTGGCGGCTTGCCTCACCGCCAGCCAGCGCCCCTTACCAGCGGCTTCCTCCGCCGGTTTTTATCGGCTTCCTCCGGCACTTTGCTACCGGATGTGCGTTTCATATTCACATTTGCGTTCTTGCGTTATATGCTTTATCCTCTTCCTCCTCTTCTTGTTCCGACTACTCCTCAATCTTCTCTGTTTCTCTCCCTCCTCCTTGCGTCAATAACATTTCAGTCTTTCGTCCTCCCACAGCAATGTTCTGCATTGGACCCTGCATTGTTCGTCCTCCCGCAACACCTCGTGGAGTTTCTTTCACCGTAATTTACCATCCTTTAATTTTTATTCCTTCAATAACTTAGCTTAGGTTCCAAGTCATATCCATCGTCGATATGTTAACGCGTAAATTCTATTAACACCTATATCAATCCCACCTTGACTATGTATTCGAACCTGCGCTTGTTCCAGGAGATTCCTCCTACTGTTTTACCAAATTACCAGCTGAAGTTTTACCAAATAAATTACACGCTTCTACCTCGTGATGACGCCCAATATTCCGATTTTCCTCCTTATAATTTTCCGTTATACTTAAATTCAAGTTCACATTACCAGTAGCATGTCCCCTTTCCACTCGTTTGTTGCGTGGATACCACTTCTACACTTCGCATCCTTAAGCCTTCCTCCCGAGTATTACGTACTACGTGAGGCGGTCAAGAAGTGTTCCGTATTGTTTGTGGTCTTTCCACACGTCATTTACACTTGTTTCGTGGCTCTCCTCGCCCTTTCACATACAAGGCCTTTTGTATCTCATGCTTCTCTTTTCCCTTTCGTTTTTACTTCGACAGTTGCCTCTATGCTCGAGATCTCTTTATTAAAGGTCATCATGTACAACTCATTCAATCTCACTCTACATGGATATTATTTGTTCACATCATGTCCTTTATTATGTTGCCCAATTTGAAGTACAACCTGAGGTAGACCCTTGGCTTGAACTACCAATGGTGTTCCTAATCATTAATGGCGTCGCTTTTTCCATTTATATTTCTGAATATTTCCTGATCAATATTTGTTTGTATGTAGACTGTTGTTAGATTTCTGAAGACACAGAATTTTTAAAATAATGTTTATTCTCACATTTGTTTGATTCGTCATTATAATTAATATTTCAAAATGTTACATTCCTCACAATTCTTTCCAATTTTTCTCAATTAGTAAAGACATCTGCTTCAATTAGTAAAGACATATGTTTCAATTATCTTCATCTCTGTACATTAATTGTTTTAAATTTTGAGAATGATGGGATTTAATCAATATGAAATAAATTACAATATGAAATGGCGAAATGCGGGTTGCTCAGCGATGGTGAGGTAGAAGCAACATGTAGAATCGGGTTGAGAAGGAAAGATCTCTAATTACATCGAGGCGTGAAACGGGAGCGAACTCTACCGACTGCATGAACAGTGCCCAAGGCTCGGAGGAGACACAGTGATCTTTCAGAGCCTGCCCCTTCTCCGCGAGAGAATATTCAGTCGCACCCTGCCTCTTCAGTCGGGTCGTCTGGACACCTCCCCAGAGATTCATCTTTAATCGTTCGAGCGATAGCGTGAGATGGCGGGCGATTCCCGTGTCCGCCCATTGTGGCAGCGGCGGCGGCGGCGGTGACCGCGCGGAGAAAGTGGTCCAGAGCGGCGATGCCCGGCCGCCGCCGCCGCCGCCTTCGCCGCGCGTCCACGTAACAATCGGAGACGCACGACATGCCGCGGCGCGGCGGCGATCGCGCCCTTACGAAAGGTTGCGTCAGCCGATGGCGCCGAATGGCAAGTGCCTTCCGCCCCTCAGCTTTTGACTCCCGGCGGCGGCAGGACTTTCGGCTCTACCCAGGCTGAATTCAGTCGCTGTCTGGGGGAGAGTTCTAGCGGCCGGCTGCTGTGATCGGTAGTTTTGCGTTGTTTCTCTGATCAACTCCAGGCGAAAACAGTTCCCTAACCATCAGGTCACGAATCGCGCGCGATCTTTCCTTCCTCTTCCTTGTCCTGTCCTCTCTTCTTACTTACACACACTTATACTAACATGCACTACACTAAGCGCACAGGGAGACCAGTCGGGAGCTTAGAGCTTCGCGGGCCTGGGACGGTGCCACGGTTGTGTGAGATATCGGATTGAATGAAAACCCAAATGCCAATAGGTAGGTAAAAGTTCCGCACTGGATATCACCATCCAGTGGGGGAAGATCACCCGCACCTCCTAGGAAACGGACATGCGCTACACTTATGGGAAATGTGACATTAGCCGTTGACGCACTAAAAATCACTAATCTATTACTTTATTAATCAAATAAACAAACACCGTTCCTTCCAACGGAGTTGTTCTATGATACGCAGGCATCTCAGGTGTCTTGTTTGTATTAGACTCAGACACCTTGATATTTGTCTGATCCTTTTTTTCTCTTGAAACTTTATGTAATTCTATCAAGTACTGAAACAAGAAAATACAATATAAGCATTGAGAAGATTTGAGTTTAAAAAATAAAAAAATGTAATAATTCATATTCATTGATAATAATTATTAATTGCACTAAATTTAAAATTATTCAGCGATGCTAATGTTTGGATTTTAAGTTCTCACATATCCCTTAAACTACCGTATTGTAGTTTTCTTGACTTTCAGCACGCTAATCCTTAACGATTTGTTGCTTCGACTGTACTTACAATATTGCCCGGGATGTGTGTTCACAGCCACCAAATCTGTTCATTAGCAACTTGTCATCGACACCAACTTCCCGCGCAGTTTGAATGCTGGCCAAATAATTTGAGTAAATTTAATTAATTTCCTTCACCGTTATTGTTTCGTATACAATATTCAGTTTGTATTAAAATCTGATACTTTGAGAATAGAAACGGCGTTTCTTTATTGTAAGTGTCAATAATATTAATCTGCAATGTGGTACTTCAATGATTCAGTTATGAGAAACTATTGATGTCTTTATTATCTGATAATTTTGTAAACATTCAATTGTCTTACGTAGTTAGATGCAGTGGGTCAAAGTGACTGCATCTTGGCACTAAATTTGATTGATTGTAACTGGACTGTGAATAAATATACGTAATGTAATGTAATGTACACGTAATGTATGAAATTATTCATCTCGGCGACGTAAAATAATT